CCCCCCCTGCGGCCCCTCCCCGGCCCGCCCCGCCGCCGCTCGGGCTCTCGCCGCCGGCCGCGCTATAAGAAGCGGGGCGGGCGGCGGGGCCGCAGCGGGCGCGGCGGGGGAACGAGATGAGCAGCGCCGGCGCCGCTGCAAGATGCTGGATGGACACGTCCTGCTGGGATGGCTCTCCTCCTGCGCGCTCCTAGGGCTGCTCGCCTGCGCCCCGCGGCCCTCCGCCGCCTACTTCGGGTAGGTGCCCCCCGCTCCTGCTCCTTAACTTTTGCCCGAGTTTATTTTTTTTTTGATGCTGAAGGGATTTTGCGCCTTTCGCGTCTCGCTCGAGGTGGGGATGCTGCGGACACCCTCCGTCCCTCGGGGGTGCGGGGCATCCCCTCCCGCGGGCGCTGACAGCCGGCCCGGGACAGCGACAGCGCCGTGCCCGCGGCTGTCCCGTGTCCCAGCGCCCGGAGCCGGGCTCCCGGAATCCCGTTGGATTTGCCGCTCGGGACCGGGCTCTCGGCGAGCCGCAGCCCCGCGGGAGCTGCCGGGCTGTGTCCCGCGGCCGCGGGCAGGAGCTGCCGGGGCCGAGCGAGCGCTTCGTTGCCCCGTTCCCCGCGGGGGCGAGGCGCACGGAGCGGACCTGCAGCGCACCAGCCGCGGGCTGTGCCCCCACCTCAGCATGGGACAGCGCGGAGAAAACTCCTTTTCCCCCGCAATCAAAGCGCGGGTTTCAACAGCAGGCGCTGGTGCTGCCGGTTGTTTTTTGGGGGGATCCGCGGGTGCGGGCGCATCCCCGGCGCTCACCTGTGCGCGGGGCGCGGCGCGGCCGGCAGGGGGCGCTCCCGGCCCGGCGCGCACCGCGCAGGTGGATCCCGCTCCCTTCCCGACCCCTTATCCCGGGGAATTATCCCCCCTTATCCTAGGGATTTATCCCCCTTATCCCGGGGTTTTATCCCCCTCTTTTCATCACCCTGATCTTGCTGTCCCGGCTCTGTGCGGTGAGCTGGACCAGCCAATTCAACCCGCTCTCCTTCAACGCCCCCCGCAGCCGCGCTGCGGAGCCTCCGCTCCGTGCGGGGTTTTCTCTCTGCGCTTTTTGGGGTGTCGCTGCGTCTCATCCTTAATTTTAAACTATTTGTCGCAAAATGTTGTCGGTTTGAGAGAGGTTTGACGCGAGCACCTGTGCAAGAGGTTTTGGTGTAAGTTTACACAACAGTGGGGATTCTTGCTTCTTTTTAAATTTTTTTTCCCTTTTTTTGGGGATGTTGTGTTGTGACCACTGGTAGGAGCCACTGGACCAGCCCTGGAGAATGTTTTAGCAGACTTGAGGTTTTCCCCCCTTCTTTCCAGTAAAACAAATCCTGGTGTTGAGGCTTGTCCATTGCTTGTGGTCTGGCAAAGTTCTCCAAACAGTGCTACTTACATCTTCTGTTTCCAACTCCAGAACCGTTTCACTTCCTGCTGCTGGGGCTGGTTTTCTAAGGAAACAGCCTGTCCTGTGTGTGCAGGTTTTTAGGAAAAGCCCTTTTCTCCCTCGGCAGCGTGCAGAGGGCTGTTCCCAGCCCGTTGGCTCATGTGTCTGCCGAGGACCACCGGCACTGTGCAGCTGAATTGTGCCTTGGGGACTGACGGGCTTTGGAAAGAGCTGGGCTGTAACTCTCCTATTAATCCCTGCTGTGCTGCTATCTGCTCTAGAGCAGCAGGTAACTCCTTGCAGTTCTTTCTGGGATTTCTCTCATGGCTTGGGGAGGTTTTAACTTTAGAGGGGACATTCTGAGCCAAGGGCAGTGTCTGCTGTCTGTCCCGACTGCTTTGGGTTTTCCTCTGTCTTGGTACAGCTGCTCTTTCTGGTTTGAGACTCCCTCCCTGGCAGTGAGGAGGGGAGAGGAGATGCTGCCAGATGTGCACTGCAGGGCTGCTGTGGTGTGCAGTGGAGTTTGCTCATGCAAAGCCTCCTTGTCTCTGGTTAAAGCCCCAGAGAAGGAGCAGCTGATCCCCTCTTTGTTCTTCCAAGAGCAGAGGTTGCACTTGCAGGGCTGCTGGGGACACTGGGAATAGTCAGTGCTGAGATCCCAGCTCCTGATAACCCACAGTGAGACCTGACAAGTGTGTGTGGAAGAGCTGAGCCCTCCTCGCTGTGGGCTTCTGTCTGTTGGTAAAGAAAGAAATCCTACCTGGTAAAAGCTGGATGTTCCTGCACAACTTCCCAGTTCTCTCTGCAAGTGCCCTAGGAAGGCTGGTATTGATATTTTTTCTTCTGCCACATGCAAGAAGGAGCTGCTCCAGGTGAGGCAGCACATCTGTTCATTCTGATAAATCCTTGCTAACAACGTGGCTGAATGACCTGAGCTAAAACACACTCTCCAGGCAGGGAAAGGGATGCTTCTTTTGAGTCCCAAAGTCACCTTTTGGTGGCCTGCTGGCTGCTCTGGGTGCTGGCATCCCTGTGGAGGAGGTGGTGGGGCACAGAGTGAGGCAGTTTTAAGCAGATGTCACGCTGTGGCTGCAGCTTGGCTGCTCCCTTCCTCAGTCTGGAGTGGGATAGAGACAGCTGTGGATGATCCCTTCCCCCCCCAGCCCCAATGTCTTATTTCAGGGAAAGAATTCCATGTCTCCAAATGTGTGGCCTGGTGGGGAATTAGTGCCCAGGGACAGAAATGGGGCATGGTTACAGGATAATGAGATTGTGTCAGCATGGAGTTATGTCTGTGCCTGCCCTGGGGGGTGGCAGGAAGGGATGCTGGGCTGGGGACACCACGGCTGGAGGCTGCTGCTGCTTCCCTGGAAGTCTGCTCTGGTGTTCTTGGAGGGATGCACAAGCAGCTGAGTAGGATACATGCCCTCTGGAAGCAGAGTTTGGAGTGTGTGTGGGAGTTCAAGCTGTGGTGCAGGTGGGGCTCTTGCTGCTGTTTTGCTCCGTGCCCAGTCTGCGTGACTGGGAGATGTGCTGAAGGTGATGGTCTGTGGAGGGGGAGACAGCTTTCCCCTTTTTCTGAGGGGAATTCTGGCAGCTGGATGTTGCTGCCCTCCTCCCTGGAGCAGGTGCCAGCAGGACCCAGGGTTACTGCCCAGGAGCAGCACCTGCAGTGATGCTGACCTGAGCTGAGAGCCTGCAGGCACCTGCTCAGGAGGAGTTTTGAGGGGTTTGGCTCAGCCCTAACTCCCAGGAAACAACTGGAAGAGCCTGCCTGCAGGGATCAGGGACGTGGTGATGCTACAGCTCCTAAAACCTTGGCTGATAAGAAACTTTTTGACAGTGAGAAAAAAGCATGCCTGTAAAACTGAGCACAGCCCTGCTGGCTTTTTGTGCATTTAGAGCTGCCCTCAGGAGGATGATGATGAATTTTGTGGGAGAGGCTGAGCCTGCCCCAGAGGGGGAGGCATTGCCTCGGGCTCGGTGTCAGCCTGCTGGGATGCACTGGCTGCCCCAGAAGTGAGGCTGCTTTTATGTCCAGCCACGGCCTCTGCAGCTGGGCTGTCTGAGCACTAATTTGCACCATATTCCAGCAGCCTGCTGGGGGGGGGGGTTTGGAGCAGCCCCAGGCTGCCGGGATCCCTGAGAAAGCATTGCATTTCATTTTCCTCCCTGCTCTGCTTTCCCGGTGCCTGACACGCTCTGGGCGTGGGTATCTCCCCTCCCTCCCTTTCCTCTCTCCAGTGTGGCTGGGGGTGGTGGAAATGCCAGAGCAGCATCTGGGAATTGTGTTGGGACTTGCACTTCTGGGCTTTGGAAGTGGCAGGTGACAAGATTAGCCATGCTGGGGTGACAGGGTGGCTGAGGAACTTCAGTCCTGCTGTGCCCTGTGCTGGTGGGAAGGGGAACCAGCCCGTAGGAGCTTCTGCTTTCCTGAGCTTCCTGATCCGTGGGTCTGAGGTGACCCAGGCCATAAATCAACCCTCCTCGATTTCTGCGGGTTCTGATTTAGAATCTGACTCAGGTTTGTTGCACCTTTTTAAAAAAAAAAAATATATTTTTTTTTAATTCTTGCTGGAAGAAGTGTTTTTCCTGCCAGTTGGGATTTGCTCTGCTTTCCCTCTGGGAGCAGAAGGATCCCAGCAGCTCTGCCCCCTCTGCAAACACTTGTCAAGACAGTAGTAATGTTACAAGTGGCTCATGCTTACATAGTGTTTATATTGACAGATTGCAATGTTCTGCATAAATGTAACTGATCTGTCCCCTGCACGCAGGCAACAGGAACCCTCAAATGCTCACGGGGGGAGAGGGAGGGAGGGAGGGGAAGCATAGCTTGCCCTAATTTACCACCACAGCACTCCCGAGAGTGGTTTGCCGTGTGGGAAGCGCCGTGTATTTTTATTCCCTTTGGCAGGTGCAGGATAGGTGCCCTGCTCTGCTGTAGGATAGAAACCTCGCTGTTCAGGGTGTGATTTTGTTAAGAGAGCCTTAGAAAAGAGCGGGATGTTGGGTTTGAAGGGGCTCTTGAGGTGCTGTGAGCGCTCTGGGGTGGGTTCCTGAGTGGGGCGCGAAGTCACTGCGAGTTCCAGCGTCAGCTGGAATGTCACCTCCAGGAGAAGCAATCCCACACAGGCTCTGCCTGTTTTTCCAGCCCGTGGGCCGCGCTGGGCGATGGCAGGTCCCCTGTGTGTGTGTGGCTGTCACTGGAGGGTGGTGTGGGGCCATGTGCGGCCTGCAGGCCGTGGCCAGGCCGCGGTGGCTTCGCGGGCGCGCCCGCCGGGCTCTGGCGTGTGTGAGATGGAGCAGCTGCTTCCCAGCACAACCCAAAAAAACAAAACCTGGCCTCGGCTGGCGAGGCAGGAATGCAGCACGCAGGCAAACACAGCTGGAGTGCCCGGAAAGGACGGCTTGGCCATCCCGCCCTGAGCCGCGCGTTCTGCCGCTCCCACACGGCTCCGCGGGGTTTCAGCTGCTGGATTTGGGGTTTTCCTTGGAAAACTGGAAGGGTTTGCCTGGTTTGGGTGGGTGTTTTTTTGTTTTTTTTTCTCCCCTCCCTTGCTTTTTTGGAGCTGGGTGAGTTGTCACTGCCGTGAGTCCTGCCTGGCTTGGCTCCCAAAGTTGGCCTCTCTGGGTCAACTCAAAGCAGTGTTTAACCTCCATTCCTCTGGAAGGGAACCCTGTGCCCAGAAGCAGCATTTGCTTTGGAGGTGCCTGGAAGTGGCACTGGATTTGATGAGGTGCCACAAGGGTGGTGACAAAGCCGGGTATATTTGGAAAAATAACTGTGCCAGACCTGCATCTTCATCCCTGGGGAGCAGGATTTGCCCCACATCAG